ACCACTAGACTAATATTGAAAAGAAATTTTAAAACAATATATCTTGTCAAGAGGCTCTGAGCAGCTATGATTATCTATTTAGCATTAAATAAAAAGAAATTAAAATAATCTATAATTAATTTGAAAATATACTTAGTGATATTGAATCTGCTATAGATATAAGAGTTAGCAATTATAGTAGGTATGTCTATAGTAATTGATGTTAAAATAGAGAAGTTGTTAGAAGATTTGAGTTTGGTTAGATTTTTGGTCACTTGTTTTAATATGTTGCTATAAGAATTATTGTTTCATTTGACATCAGTAAAGAGAAAATATTTGCTATAGCACAGTAGAATATCTAGATTGATTTGTATAGACGAGTTAAGGTCTTAATTAATACTTTGACCTAGTTGAAAAAGTTAGTTGTAAAGAAAATGTTGTTAGTAATATTGTATGTCAGTTTTGCTAGTTGCCAGATATGTGAGATTGACTTGAAGTTATTATTGGGGTAAAAAATGTTGTTAATAATGTTGATAAGTTGATTAATATCTCCTGATACTAATAGGTATTTAAAGACATATTGAATATCCTCAGTGTATAGACTACACCTGAAACTATATGGATCAATATATTGTTTTAAAATAGTTTATTAAAAATATAATAATAATTATTTATATATATATAATAAAATTGAATTTAAACATTTTTCAAAAATTGTATTATATTAGAATTACTAAATAACATATAGTAAATAATTGAAAATTATATTTAATTTGAAATTATATTATCAATTAAATTTTTTTTTATAATAATAAAGAAATATATTCTTTTAACTTATTAATCAAATTATATAAGTTTCTTAAATCAGTTTTATTTGTAAAAGAGAAAATGTTTTATACTTTTATTTTAAAATTAATAAGATTTTTAAAAAATTTAATTTTAAACAAAAAACAAAAAACAAGTAAATCAAAGTTATAATTTGTTGCGATATATTCTGTTATCTTTTTAATAAATTTTAAAGAGATAATAAATGACTTTTGACAATTTAACTTTAATTGAAGTAAAAATTTTTATAAGTATAATAAGAAGATTAAGAAATTTTATTTTAATAAAATTTTTATATTTATTATATAGTTTTTAATAGTTAATTTTTATAAATAAGAAGTTAAAAAATTAAAACCATATTTTAGAAATTGAATAACTTGTCAATATTTTAGGTTTATAAGATTAATTAATCTAAGATATGTTATAAATAAGGATCCTAATGATTCTTTTCGATTCTGTATTCAATTCTCAAGTTTATATTAAATTTAATAGGTGGAGTATATCCCATCAACATTTTTAATAGTGTTCCGAACCTCATGCGATTCTGTTCGATTCTACTCGATTCCAATTTTCGGAACCATAGTTATAAATCTAATATATATTAAAAATAAATGTGTGTAACCTATGTGTGTAACGCCAACGTTTAGTTTATCCTATATAAATAAAAATTTACTCATTAGAAAATTATAACAGATCATGTTAAAAAAAAAGGTGTAACCTTTGCTAATGATTAGTTTACAGATCAAATCAAAAATAAAATTTCGCGTCTTCCATGATTTATAATTACAGATGGTACGTTTTTTTGTGCATGTTTTCATATTTGTTTCATAAAACATTAAGGTCCATAAGGAACATGTGATAATATTTTATTTTATGTTTATGATCAATCGATCTTATATTATCAGGTATGGTTTAGTCTGACGGATCGAGAGTGATACCCTTCAAAATGGCCAAAGATGTGTTATTGAACCGTGATCCTCTTTTTCCGGTATATATAGTAAGGTTTATGTGACAGTGATAAAGAATTTAGTCTTTTACTTTGTTCAATCTCTTTTTAAAAGAATGAAATTCTTTACACCTTTTCGAAACTTCTTTATAGGAAAAATCGTTACACTGGTATACGACTAGATTTATTCTATAAGAGAATTAACATCCGCTCACAGTACCCTCCCCTTCGTAATAATCATAAGGTAGATATGAAAATAATTTTATTGAGATTTTTATTTTCGTTTATTCACATTATTTAATCGGATTCATTTAAATCCATATGAACCCTTTGACTTATTATGAGAAATTTGTATCATTAATCTTTGTAAAATTATACGGATAATAGAAACAGATTTTGATCATACTTGTGATTTAATCAAGACTAGATAAGTTCTATAAGAGAATTAACATCCGCTCACAGTATCCTCCCCTTCATAATAATCATAAGGTAGATATTTCTTCTTAAATATGAAAATAATTTCTTAAGATCTTTAATTTTTGTTTATTTACACTAGATCATATAATCGGATTCGTTCAAATCACGTAGGAACCCCGTAACTTATTGTAAGAAATTTGTAATATTAATCTTTGTAAAATTATACAGATAATAGAAACTAATTATAATCGTTACTTGTGATTTAATTAAGATAGTGAACTACCTGCGGTTTAAATGTGATATTAGTTATACTTATTAATATAATATAATACATAGAAGAAACTTACTAAATGATAAATGAAAATAAGGAAATGCTTTGGAACAGCCTCAATTATATTCTCCCGAATTTTTAAGGTCCTTAAATATTTCTGGCCTTTTGCCAGGTGAATTAAAATTAAAATTAGGAACACCGATTATGCTTCTACGAAATCTAAGCCCGTCAGAGGGACTTTGTAATGGGACTCGATTAATTTGCTATGGACTTTACAATAAAGTTATAGATGCAGAAATAATCACAGGATCAAATATTGGAAAGCGTGTTTACATACCTCGAGTCACATTAACACCTTCTGATACAAACATGCCTTTTATCCTAAAGTGACGACAGTTTCCAATGCGAATTGCATTCTGTATGACTATTAACAAGTCATAAGGTCAAACATTAAGTCGGGTGGGTCTATATCTACCACAATTGGTTATTTCACATGGTCAGCTATATGTCGCTTTATCAAGGGTTACTTCTTATTGATGCATTAATGTTTTTATATCTAATAATGCAAATGTGAATAGAGATTATCAAACAAAAAATGTTGTATATCACGAAATTTTTAAATCAATTAAATAATTTGACGTCGATGACGTCATAAATCACATGATCCTATATACTATGACCAAATAATTACTGTTGCAAAGCAATGGGTTAATAACTAGTAATGTTTTATTAATAATAATAATAATTTTTTGTTATTGTTTTAATAATATAATCAATATTATTGATTTTAATATAATTTGTTTTGAACTTATTTTAAATATTTTTATATTCTATTGGATATTGGCCTTTAATCAAATTGGTTTTGATAATGTTATAAAAAAGTTTTTATTTTTGTATTCAATTTTTTAAAAAATAATTTTTAGTAATAATTTGAAAAAACTTTTAATAAATTTGATAAAAAAATTTAAAATAGTATTTGAAATTTTATAATATTTGATTATCTTATAAAAATAAATAAAAATTTTAATTTGTTTATTCTTTAAATTGATATTGTAAATATTATTTACAGGTTGACTAATAATTATAGTTATAGAATTTATTGTAACTAAAAAAAAAATTCTTTCCTAATCATATCTGTTTTGTTAAAAAATTTTCTTTATGATAATTTTAAGCAAGAAAAATATTTTACATTCTTTATTACAAGTGAGTCCCAGCTCAAGAACTCAAGAACCTTTAAAACAATTGGTGTAGTGGGATGGGACCTCTGATTAAAGTCTACTCAAGTTTAGGAATCTTGTTTATCCTTTGGTTGCATGAGAAAAGGCCTGTAGCAGTTCTCTTTTCTTTTGTTCTCTTGCACCTCTCTTTTTCTTTATTATATCATAAAAACTATTCACATCAATATTATTACACTCGCTAAATTAAACACCTTTCAAAAAACATACACAAACAATATTGTTGGATCTATTATTTGTTTTAATATAACCTTTACATATAATCTTACTAGGGTTCCGAAAAAGTACTGAACTGGTATCAAACTGGTATCAAAATGGTACTGATCTATAGTAAATTTAATATATGGGTTGTAATCTACTCATATGTTTTTATAGTAAATTTAAGTATTGAACTAATATCAAAGTGATATTAAAGTAATATCATTAGAAGCCCTAAACCTTATCATGACACTATCTATTGCATTATTTCAAAATCATCCAGTTTTGGACATTAAAGTCGTATCGCTCAAAACTGATATTTCTGCACGTAGCAAATTATAATACCTCTCAAAACAGCCTATGAAATTAGATCAGTGAACGATATTCACGTCCATAGTTACTTTATTTAATTAGAATATTATTAAACTTGCAGAACTCTTGAAGCAGAGTTATATTGTTTTATATGTCGCATTTTATTCTGCATGCATTCAAGGTCTCGCAGCTATGCTTTACCTTTCATCATCAAATGAACTTGAAGGACTGTTTTCCAATTTTCTTCTATAAAAATTTGGCCATCAGGAAGTAGCATTTTGTTCATTGACCACTCCTCTCAAAAATGCCTAGAGTTCTTTCATTCAGCAATTACTTCAGCACACTCCTTTTTGCCCTATTTTCGATAGTTCTTCTACTGAATACCACTTTGTTTAGCTCAGTTGACGCGAATCGTAAGAATCATAAATACGACCGTCAGTATAACTGCGTGTTTCAGTACATAACTTACTCACGTGATTGTTTTTTTTTTGAATAGATGTTCCACCTTTGAATAGCGAAATTGTCTCCAGTAATATATGCGACCCTAATGTAAAACAGGTTGGTTTAGTCTTGTTCACATTTCAAGAAAGTTCAATTCAACCTAAATTGCACTTATTAATTAACTACCCGCGACCTTAGTACTCTGGGTATATCAAAGTCAAGAATGCACATTATTACTTTTGGTTTTTCGAATCACGGAATAACCCGGAGACTTCACCCCTCACATTGTTTCTTAATGGTGGCCCCGGTTGCTCTTCGATGATTGGCCTTTTCCAAGAAATGGGTCCGTGTAGATCAATAAAAAATGGCACGGACGTTGAGATAAATCCGTACAGTTGGAACAAAGTTTCCAATCTACTATTTGTTGATCAACCTATCGGTGCAGGATTTTCTTACGGCAATAAATATTTGGATTCAACGGAAGATGCAGCTGAGGTTCTTTACGAATTCTTACAGCTCTGGTTCCGGCAATTCCCCGAATATTTGGATCGAGATTTTCATCTATTTGGAGAATCTTATGCTGGTCACTACGGTAGGTCATCTCTTGTTACTCGAGAATCTCATTGGTGTAATGGCTCATTCTTTCATTCCACGCGCCACAGTACCTGCAACAGCTAGTCTAATATTGAAGAAAAATTCATTATACAACAATATAAAAAAAAGGAAAGCCGGAACAAAGCTCTCGGTTCCAATTCGTCTCAAATCGATCGGTAATAATTCTTTTTTGAAATAATCAATCAAATGGTTTTATATTCTTGAATCCATCAAAATTTTATTCCTTTAAAATTTGAATTTTTAGGCATAGGAAACGGATGGATCAATCCTACAATACAATAGTATGTAAATTTCATTCAAATTTAATATCACCATAACTATATTAACCCAAGAACATCCATCTATAGTGGCTCAAATATTGACTATATCATACACAATGCATGTAAGGCATTATTGATTTACCCACCTAAACTCGAAGATGATAAAAAATAATAATTGTTATTATATCCATCAGACGGTCCGTTGCTCAACAAGAAGATCCACTCAGAAATGACCGCCAATTATCCTACGTGCAAGGCGCTTCGTAAGTCATAATTATTTGAAGATCTTCGCGTTTATTTTATTTGAAAATAAACCAATTATCTCTCAAATTTTACTTCGGAAAGTTAAAAAATGCACCGACACGAATTCGCCCAATGATTGCGGCGACGCTGGAAATTATTGCACGGCAAACTTTACCGCGCTATTTAGCGCTAATTCTGGCGTCAATCCTTACGACGTTAGGACTTCCAACTCTACAACGTTTTCTTACCCGTCACCAGATTACAATAATTATTTAGCGTTACCAAACGTACGGAAGGCGATTGGGGCTCAAATACCATATACTGAGTGTTCTGTTACCACCTACAATTACTTCGTTTTGCAAAAATCCGACGAGTGAGTATTTTCTTTCATGCGTTAATGTTAGACGTGTAAAATCATAGACCAAAGCGTATAAAAAAAATTTTTTTCTACATAGTATGCGAGACTTCCTTCCCACCCTAAGCTCCGTTGTTGATAGTGGTGTGCGCACGTTGATGTATTACGGCGACGCAGACTTCGACTGTAATTGGTATGAATTATTTTGAAAGAAAATGTGTTGTGTAAACATCTTTACTTAAATCTCTTATCATTCATGTAAAATTAAGGATGGGAGGACACAATGTTTCCAAAGCTGTCCAATGGAAGTATCAGAGTCAATACAATTCTGCACCTTTAAAAGAATGGTTTCTAGGTGGTCGTAAAGCGAGAGGAAAAATTCAAACTCATTCATGCTTGACATTTGTTTCGATTTATAATTCAGGCCATGAAGTATCAGTTTATCAACCAAAAGTTGCTCTAGAAATGTTTACCCGTTGGATTAACCATCGAGGATTCTAATTTAGATTTTCATATTATTTATTTTAACATTTAATCTTTTCATCAATTCCTACAATGTCTCCATTAATTCCACGAATATTTTTTCACTAATTCCAAATGATCCTTTTCCCGTTCGAAAATTATCGATTAAATTAAAAAGATAAATATTCAATGATAATTCACTTAACATTACAGCTATCTCATTTGATTTCTTGCCACAAGATCGACTTTCTAATAACAATTTTGCAATAAAATAAAGTCGTGTGAAATTAGTGGCGATTACTTTTGCCGGTATTCCTCACCCCCCTAAAGCGGTTTTCAATGAAAAATATATAATTAGTGATTCACTTATTAACTACATATTCATTATTTTTAAATTGAGTAACACCTGATGTAATCAGCACATGTCCGGATAATGTCTGTCGGATGATAAAATAGCACGAGCTTCTCTATCCAGGAGAACATATACCATATTATACTTAGCTTTGGGTTTATCACGAGGCTGCATACTAACCTTAGATCTCAATCATATGTAATTAATAATTGATAATGTTCTCAACCAATTTGTCGATGTGCAAGGACATATGAATAATTCTCATTTGCTTTAGATCATGAAACTAAACTTAACTTCGATAATTTTACGAACCGTGAATTTGTTTATCTATTTATTTTATTTATTTCATAACTTGACAATATTTTTATTTTTTTTAACATTATACTATATTTAAAAAAATTTTTTATTTGTAATAATATTTAACAAATTATAATTTTTTTTTTTTTTAATTTGCCATTAAAACTAAGATCATATACAGTATTTCTTAAATTTTATTGAATTATTACAAATATAAGAAATAAATATAATATATTGATTTTCTTAATTTAACTTGCTCATTAACAATACAAATCTTTAAATATAATTTATAAATGTAATATATTACTTATTAAATAATATTCTGATTTTATATTTTTTAATAGAATTAAAACCTGTAGAATATTTTCTAATTATATAATATAAAATCAAATAAAAAGAAAAAATATAAATGTTTATATTTAAAAAAAAAATAAATAAATCAAATAAAATCAAATAAAAAGAATATATACTGTATATACTGTACAGTATATATATTTATTTAAAAAAAATAAGTAAAATAAATAAATAAAATTATTATTTATTTAATTATTATTAAAAAATTTTTTTTAATTTAAACAAGATTCAATATTTTTTATAATTATTAATATAATTATTTTTTATTATTCATAATTAGTTAATTTATTAAAAAAAACTCTTTTTTATAATATATTTATTTGAAAAAACTTGTTAAAAAAATTATAAGAAACCTAGAAAAAAAATATCTTTTTGAGTCTCACATTTAATACTTGTTTGTGATAAAAAATATGTATATCTTTTCAAAGATCATTTTTACAACTATAAATTTATTTTTTTAAATATTTCTATCATCAATATTTTCAAACTTGAAATAATATTTATTTACAAAAACATTAAAATTAACAAAATTTTTGTATTAACTTTTAAATCTATATTATCTATTGATGATAATTAAATATAAAGTTTATATAAATTTAAAATAATTTATATATACACTTTTGCCTTTTTGCATAAAATTAATACAAAATTAAACAATATATAAAATATTTTTAAAATAGAACTTAATAATCTTTTTATATAAACTGAATTATAATTACTAGTTACAATAAATTATTATTATTATTATTTTCAATAGGTAAATATAATTTCTTTATTTATTGATATTATACTTAAAGTTATATATATATATGTGAAAGAAACAATATTTTTTATATACAAAAGTATAACAAGTTAAATGCTAGCTTGTCTATACATCTATACTTAGCTAATATCAAAAAAAAAATTTAAAACAATATTATATAATGCTAAATATAGTTAAATAGTGACTATACCTACTTACTCAGAGTTTTTTTTTGGGGGGGAGGGGTTTTCCCTTATAGGTAAGCATCATTTCTTTATTTGATATTGTATATAACATGATATACATCGTAAAAGAAACAATATCTCTTATATACATGTGTAGCAAGTTAAATGCTAGCCTGCCTACGCGAACACATCTAGCTAATATTGAAAAAGAAATTCAAAACAATACTAT